TCGACTCAAAACCGAAGTAATGCATATGACAAAAACCGAAATAGTGCATACATGAAAACGAACTTCTTTCTGAGTAGGCGGCCTTCGGCCGCGCTTAGGGATTATAACCCTTACTAAGTAGAATTCTCCTTTCTGTGTTGCCGGAAAAGGGGGCCGGAAGTATTTTTGCGCAGAACTTCTTTCTGCGTAGGCGGCCTTCGGCCGCGCTTAGGGACTATAACCCTTACTAAGTAGAATTCTCCTTTCTGTGTTGCCGGAAAAGAAGGGCGGAAGTATTTTTGCGCAGAACTTCTCTCTGCGTAGGCGGCCTTCGGCCGCGCTTAGGGATTATAACCCTTACTAAGTAGAATTCTCCTTTCTGTGTTGCCGCAAAAGGGGACCGGAAGTATTTTTGGGCAGAACTTCTTTCTGCGTGGGCGGCCTTCGGCCGCCCTTAGGGATTATAACCCTTACTAAGTAGAATTCTCCTTTCTGTGTTGCTGGAAAAGGGGGCCGGAAGTATTTTTGCGCAGAACTTTTCTCTGCGTAGGCGGCTTTCAGCCGCGCTTAGGGATTAAAACCCCTTACTAAGTAGAAGTAAATAATTCATATTAGAAAAAACGAAATTATCCATATGCACACTTTCGTTAGAAAACCGAAATAATGCATGCATGCACAATTTCAGTTCAAAACCGAAATAATGCATATGGCAAAAACCGAAATAAAGCATACATGCACAGTTTCGGATGAAACCCGAAATAATGCATATGTGAAAGACGAAGGTATGCATACATGCACAGTTTCGGTTGAAAACCGAAATAATGCATATAACAAAAACCGAAATAATGCATGCATGCACAGTTTCGGTTGAAAACCGAAATAATGCATATGAAAAACCCGAAGTAATGCATACATGCACAGTTTCGGTTGAAAACCGAAATAATGCATATGAGAAAATACCGAAATTATGCATATGCATACTTTCGTTTTAAAAGCGAAATAATGTATATGAAAAATAACGAAGTAATGCATACATGCACAGTTTCGGTTTAAAACCGAAATAATGCATATGGTAAAAACCGAAATAAAGCATACATGCACAGTTTCGGTTGAAACCGAAATAATGTCTAAATGCACAGTTTCCATATGCGCAATTTCGGTGTCCCTTTTTGATTCAGTGTTATGACGGGGAATATTAGCTAAGTTATTTACTTTTCTGGGCCTATATTCGAATTCACGAACGAAAGCTCCGGGGGGGCCAAAAAGAACTACTAAGCAGCGCATTAAAATTATCTAAATTTACGTCAACTTTAAATGAAGCAATATTTCTTTCGTAATTAAAATTAAACTTTCTGATGCTTAAGTCGACAGTTGTAATTTTTGATGAGATGTAAAGCTTTATATCGTCTTCGGTAGTGTCTCTCGAAAATCTAGAAACAAAGATTGACTTCTTTGGCGGAACCACAACTAGTTTCCTCGGTTCAGACTGGACTACCGGTGGAGGGGGTTGAGTTTCTGCGTTAGTAGCTGAGGATAGGGAAAGCGGTGGAGGCTTTGAAGATGATGCCACCACTTCAATGGGGGAAGGGGAAGATACTTCAGGCTCTTTATTATCCGAACCAGATTTCGTTGCACGGTCCTTTGAGGCTGAGGATTCTGATGCTGGAGGACACGGAGAGGATAAATTAATTAAGTCCGTCGGAAGATTATTCCTAAGATGGACTATGCAGACGCTTACGTTTAGACACACGGATATCCTTAACAGATTGCAAGGTATCTAAGCATTTGAATGATTTAAACATATATCATAATGCTTAAACTTTTCTGTCAGTACCGACAGTTCTCTTCCTATTTCTGTAAAACCATTTCTGGTTTGCTTAAATAGCTTGAAAAGATCAACTTCGGTTGACCTGCACTTTACGCAAGACCAGCGAAGGCCCTTGCCATCATTAATAGCGTCCAGAATTCTTCCCGTCAAACCAGCACATTTCAGATGGTAAATACCATCACACAGCCAGCACGATAAGTAGCATTCAGAATCGCTTTTAATTTGGCAAGTATCAAGATCACACTTCATATTGAAATATTTATGTAATACACTCGTTAATAAAAGACAAACAAAATAAATTATAACAATTAAGGAGCTGATGTAAATAGCTTTAAATAAATGTAGCGAACAGTTTTAGTATCACTTTGATTATGACACTTAATCAACGCAACGCAAACAGCTGTGACAAGAATTACTAGAAGAAGTAAACAAAAAGCGTAGAACAAATGTGCAAAAACAAAATGAAAGTTAACTACAAAGGATACAACAACAATGATAGCAACAAATGACTCGGCAAAATTAGAATGTATGCTAGTGAAATTTAATTAAATTAAATTTGCTTTAATATAAAAGCAATAACTTTCACTTAGCTTCAATTATTTCACACTCTGATGCTCATAAGCACTTTTTATAAGCTTTTATTTAACTTGGTCATCCCGCGCAAATCGCGGAAATTTCCAATCGATTTTAAACTGACTTCCCGACAAGTTAGAGACTTGAAATTTTCAGCATAGTTCCAATCACGATGACAATGGAATTTGAAATATAAATGAATTCCCCATATGGTCCAGGGGTCTTGATTCAAAGGCGGTCAAAAAATAGTAAGATTTATGGCTAACAGAGCGTAATTTGCCAAAGAACGTAAAACCACTATAAAATTGTTAAAGCTGCAGGCGCGCCGTGGCGGTAGTGTAGCTAAGCTATTTGTAGCAAATTCTAGACTCCAGATGTCGCCCCGCCAGAAGAAGAATTTACTTCGTTTTTAAAAAAGCTTGTCGGCGAATTCAGCGTACATGTATAGTTGGTTAGGTATGTATGTATATGTATGTATGCAGAAATTTGAATGCCGGTTTGCTATTCGCGCGACAAGCTTTTTTAAAAACGAGGTAAATTAGTACAAATTGTTAGTAATTTTCATTAAAGTTTGAATAACCCCTTTCACTTAATGGCTTTTAGTAACTTTAACGAGAACTTAACTTATTTTATTTTATTCATTTTAGTGCAGTTTTGACAAAATTATCTTGCTAAAAAATCTTTTGTTACTCTACTTCATTTTATTCCTTTGATTGTACAGATTAAATAAAAGCTTGTTTTTAAAAAATATTTTTTTTACATTATTTTATTTTATAATTTTTAGTCCATTTATAAAAGCGTTGTATATTAAAAAGTGTTATTTTATTTTATGCACAAAATTTTGCAATGGATATTAAAATATTTCAACTTGCAATGAGAGAGAACAGAAGACTTGGCAAGCAAAATGTTGTTTGCTTTTGTTTTGTATAAACATACATATGTACATATAGCAGCAGCTAATTTTATTTAAAGAAATGGCGTGTCGTCCATTTCCGCTGTAGCATGGCATATATTTAGGCGCAATATTTAACTTCTTCTGGCGGGGCGACATCTGGCTTTTAGTAACTTTAACGAGACCTTAACTTATTTTATTTTATTCATTTTAGTGCAGTTTTGACAAAATTATCTTGCTAAAAAATCGTTTGTTACTCTACTTCATTTTATTCCTTTGATGGTACAGATTAAATAAAAGCTTGTTTTTAAAAAATATTTTTTTTACATTATTTTATTATCACTACTTTAGCACAGAATTAGCACAATGAACTTAGTAAGTAGAAAGCCAAAATCAGAGCACAATAAAGTACAATTTCACAGCTTGGCGTTTGCTTGTTTGAACATTTTATTAAAATAAATTCATTAAAAAAACAGTATTCAATAACATTTTAATACAAAAAATAAAACTTAGCAAGTTTTATATGAATAAAATACCAAACATCCTTTCGAAAAAAAATTGCCAAAAATCAGAAACTCAAGATTTTTACATTATTGTACTAGAATTGAATAGACTGCAAAACTGCGTACTCAGATAATTTCTTAAAATTCTAAACAAAAATTTAAAAACTTTTGGATAATTTTTCAAATATGTATTTTTTTTAATTTTGAAAAAAGTTCCTTAAATTTATTTTAGCTGTTTTTATTGTGGAATTGTATAAAGTCTTTTTTAAATAACGAAAATAGGCAAAATTAAGAGAATTAGCTGAGACTTGTCTTAACATTTTCAAATTCAAATTCAAATTAGATTAAAAAAATCAGTAAAATAAATTAAGTAACCACTTCCCTCTTCCAGCTCTTGTATCAAGATATTAATTTTGGGTGTTGTTTTCCCGCGCGACTTAGAAAATTTATAAAAATATGCTTCAATGAATGTCCAAAAATTGGAACTTGCTGTAGGGTATTCAACATTAAATAAGTGAAACGATTTAAAGCATACATCAAGGCATCGATAAAAGTTTGTAAATCGCGACTTGGTATCATCCAAATATAAAAAAATTCGTCGAATTTTGAAAATTTTTTTTCGCCTAACACTAAAATTAGAGGCTGAATGCTCTCACCGCGTTGCTTCAAAAATTCAATATAATTGTCGAGTTCTTGTAGAGTTTGTCCCACAAACGTAAATAATTCTTGAGAATCTTTGATCGTAAACCTGCAGGTATCTTTCTTGCCAGCGTTGGTTTTTCTAAAAACTTGTTCGTAAGATAGAGATATCCGTGAAGGCACCCCAAAGTTTTAAAATTAATTGAGTTTCATCTGAAAAAAAAAACATTGAAGATGATTTATTACGCTCCAAAATAACTCTTAAAAAATGTACAGTAGTGGTAGGTAATTAGTTTCAGTTTTAAATTCCTTTTGTTTTCTACTTTATACTATGTCTCCTTTGTGAAATTTAATAAAGATTTAACCCACTGACGAGATTCAACGCTAAGTCATTTATTTATCATACACATTTAAATCTCATGATGCTATAGATTTAATTCCTTTTTTTTTGTTGAATTTCCGAAAGGGAGGAAAGTTGATGTATATAGGAAAGATTTTCCGTCAAACCTTGTCAAATTTGGTTTGGAGAGAAACCGGTTTCGGCAAAGTGCTATCTTCAGTGTCATTTAAGTTAAATCAGATTTTAAAATTGAGATTAATTATCTGACCACTAATGTGTGATTTTAGTTCAATTCAAATTTAGTTTTTATCTTATTTTTATAATCATACCTTTTTCCAAATCTTCCTCCGAAATTGAATTTATTACAAATTTTGTTGAGCTGTCCTTTAAAATACCAGGCTTCTTAAGATGAAGGAACAACCGAAAAATTTCTTGTTTGCAGCTAAGAAAATTGTGGGTATTTGGGAACATTTTTCCAAAATCAAGGTCAATCTGGAATAAAAATTTTAATTTACTTTATAAGTATATGAAAAATCAAAACCTATGTCTTCAGATTTACCAGACGATATCCATCAGCTTTTTTATATTCGGGCCATTCCCGAAATATTTGGTGGATGTTTTGAAGTTTTTGCACATTTTTGTACATTGATTCTATAATTGGCACAGGCTTGCCATGTGCTATAAAATTCTTCCGCACTGAGGTTATCGTACTTAATCCGCTGGACTATTTTTTTCGCGCCGATTTCTGGAACTTAAAATGCAAAGATAAGTAGGTTTGTACACTTACGGTCAAAAAATGTAAAAAAGTGTAAAATGTAAAACTGTTCATATTTTGATTTTATTTTTTTGACCGTTAGTGTATCTACACTTACGGCCAATAAAATTGAATCGAAATGTAAACATAGGTTGCAGATAATTGTCATTGTATTTATTCTAGTGTATGTTTTAAAAAAATTTCTATTATAAAGGACATACCAATTTCTGCCATTTCTTCCAACTCTGGAGATGTTGGTCGAATTTTCTTAGCATCCAAACTGTGGCTTTTGAGGCTTTTTTCTGTGTTGCAAAATTTCGTATACAATTTCTCCCTCTTTTCTGTTCTGTAGAAACTTAGTTTTTCATTTGGAAAAATTTCCAAATTTATTTTTCTAAGCAGTGGCTGCTTTGAAGGGACATATGAAGGCCTTGGTTGATGAAATAGTTGACAATGGTATTAATAAGCATCCGAATTTAAAATTACCGCAAGCGTTATTAATCTTACTTCCTGAGACTCTTGCGAGGTAGAATCGGTTGTATAACAAATAGGAGACTTTGAATTGATCGAAGAGAAGGTTGAGGAGCAGTTATGACACGAGCGATGTGATGATGAGTGAAAATCCAGAGGTTTGTCGATTTCATTCCTCCAATTCTCAAAATGCAATTCGAGAACAACCCGATCACCGAGTTTAAATTTGTTTAGTAATTCTTTCAAATGGTCACATTTTATGATTTCCAGAACTTCAATTGTAACATTTTCATCTGCAAAAAATTCAAGAATGAAGTTAACACTCATAGTGCAAAATATAATATAAAACCTACCTTTAAGATGATCGTACATGTTTTCAACATTCCAGGATTGTAGTAAAATTTGTAAACTGTCAGGTTCAAGTTCAGATGGCGATGGCGAAGCCGGACTATCAAAGTTTTCACCTGAGTTGGAAAT